ACCTTCCTCTATTCTGTCTCAACAGTTACCTACCAAGGTAAAATTTATATATAATACCTTCCTCTATTTGTCTCAACACTTACCTACCGAGGTAAAACTAATTTATATATACTACCTTCCTCTACTCTGTCTCAACACTTACCTACCGAGGTAAAATGAATTTATATATACTACCTTCCTCTATTCTGTCTCAACAGTTACCTACCGAGGTAAAACTAATTTATATATACTACCTTCCTCTACTCTGTCTCAACACTTACCTACCGAGGTAAAATTTATATATAATACCTTCCTCTATTCTGTCTCAACACTTACCTACCAAGGTAAAATTTATATATAATACCTTCCTTTATTTTTCTCAACACTTACCTACCGAGGTAAAACTAATTTATATATAATACCTTCCTCTATTCTGTCTCAACAGTTACCTACCAAGGTAAAATTTATATATAATACCTTCCTCTACCTTTACCTACCAAGGTATTTATATATAATACCTGTCTCAACACTTACCTACCGAGGTAAAACTAATTTATATATACTACCTTCCTCTACTCTGTCTCAACACTTACCTACCGAGGTAAAATGAATTTATATATACTACCTTCCTCTATTCTGTCTCAACACTTACCTACCGAGGTAAAACTAATTTATATATACTACCTTCCTCTACTCTGTCTCAACACTTACCTACCGAGGTAAAATGAATTTATATATACTACCTTCCTCTATTCTGTCTCAACACTTACCTACCAAGGTAAAATTTATATATAATACCTTCCTCTATTCTGTCTCAACACTTACCTACCGAGGTAAAACTAATTTATATATAATACCTTCCTCTATTCTGTCTCAACACTTACCTACCGAGGTAAAACTAATTTATATATAATACCTTCCTCTATTCTGTCTCAACAGTTACCTACCAAGGTAAAATTTATATATAATACCTTCCTCTATTTGTCTCAACACTTACCTACCGAGGTAAAACTAATTTATATATACTACCTTCCTCTATTCTGTCTCAACACTTACCTACCGAGGTAAAATTTATATATAATACCTTCCTCTATTCTGTCTCAACACTTACCTACCGAGGTAAAACTAATTTATATATAATACCTTCCTCTATTCTGTCTCAACAGTTACCTACCAAGGTAAAATTTATATATAATACCTTCCTCTATTTGTCTCAACACTTACCTACCAAGGTAAAATTTATATATAATACCTTCCTCTATTTGTCTCAACACTTACCTACTATTCTGTCTCAACAGTTACCTATATATATATAATACCTTCCTCTATTCTGTCTCAACACTTACCTACCAAGGTAAAATTTATATATAATACCTTCCTCTATTCTGTCTCAACACTTACCTACCGAGGTAAAACTAATTTATATATACTACCTTCCTCTATTCTGTCTCAACACTTACCTACCGAGGTAAAATTTTATATATAATACCTTACCTAACACTTACCTACCGAGGTAAAATGAATTTATATATAATACCTTCCTCTATTCTGTCTCAACAGTTACCTACCAAGGTAAAATTTATATATAATACCTTCCTCTATTTATATATAATGTCTCAACACTTACCTACCGAGGTAAAACTTTATATATAATACCTTCCTCTATTCTGTCTCAACACTTACCTACCAAGGTAAAATTTATATATAATACCTTCCTCTATTCTGTCTCAACACTTACCTACCAAGGTAAAATTTATATATAATACCTTCCTCTATTCACTGTCTCAACACTTACCTACCTTCCTCTAGGTAAAAGGTAAAACTTTATATATAATACCTTCCTCTATTCTGTCTCAACACTTACCTACCGAGGTAAAACTAATTTATATATACTACCTTCCTCTATTCTGTCTCAACAGTTACCTACCAAGGTAAAATTTATATATAATACCTTCCTCTATTTGTCTCAACACTTACCTACCGAGGTAAAACTAATTTATATATACTACCTTCCTCTATTCTGTCTCAACAGTTACCTACCAAGGTAAAATTTATATATAATACCTTCCTCTATTTGTCTCAACACTTACCTACCGAGGTAAAACTAATTTATATATACTACCTTCCTCTATTCTGTCTCAACAGTTACCTCCTACCAAGGTAAAATTTATATATACTACCTTCCTCTATTCTGTCTCAACACTTACCTACCAAGGTAAAATTTATATATACTACCTTCCTCTATTCTGGCTCAACACTTACCTACCGAGGTAAAACTAATTTATATATACTACCTTCCTCTATTCTGTCTCAACAGTTACCTACCAAGGTAAAATTTATATATACTACCTTCCTCTATTCTGTCTCAACACTTACCTACCGAGGTAAAACTAATTTATATATACTACCTTCCTCTATTCTGTCTCAACACTTACCTACCGAGGTAAAACTAATTTATATATACTACCTTCCTCTATTCTGTCTCAACAGTTACCTACCAAGGTAAAATTTATATATAATACCTTCCTCTATTCTGTCTCAACACTTACCTACCGAGGTAAAATAATTATATATAATACCTTCCTCTATTCTGTCTCAACACTTACCTACCGAGGTAAAATTTTTATATATACTACCTTCCTCTACTCTGTCTCAACACTTACCTACCGAGGTAAAATGAATTTATATATACTACCTTCCTCTATTCTGTCTCAACACTTACCTACCGAGGTAAAACTAATTTATATATAATACCTTCCTCTATTCTGTCTCAACAGTTACCTACCAAGGTAAAATTTATATATAATACCTTCCTCTATTCTGTCTCAACAGTTACCTACCAAGGTAAAATTTATATATAATACCTTCCTCTATTCTGTCTCAACACTTACCTACCGAGGTAAAACTAATTTATATATAATACCTTCCTCTATTCTGTCTCAACACTTACCTACCGAGGTAAAATTTATATATATTCCTCTATTCTGTCTCAACAGTTACCTACCAAGGTAAAATTTATATATAATACCTTCCTCTATTCTGTCTCAACAGTTACCTACCAAGGTAAAATTTATATATAATACCTTCCTCTATTTGTCTCAACACTTACCTACCGAGGTAAAATTTTATATATAATACCTTCCTCTATTCTGTCTCAACACTTACCTACCAAGGTAAAATTTATATATAATACCTTCCTCTATTTTATATATAATACCTGTCTCAACACTTACCTACCGAGGTAAAACTAATTTATATATACTACCTTCCTCTATTCTGTCTCAACAGTTACCTACCAAGGTAAAATTTATATATAATACCTTCCTCTATTTGTCTCAACACTTACCTACCGAGGTAAAACTAATTTATATATAATACCTTCCTCTATTCTGTCTCAACACTTACCTACCGAGGTAAACTAATTTATATATACTTCCTTCTTCTATTCTGTCTCAACAGTTACCTACCGAGGTAAAACTAATTTATATATACTACCTTCCTCTATTCTGTCTCAACACTTACCTACCGAGGTAAAACTTATATATAATACCTTCCTCTATTCTGTCTCAACACTTACCTACCGAGGTAAAACCTATCCTCTATTACTGCCTTAGAAGTAACCCTACTCTATAAGTATGTACTTCTATTAGAATGTGTCATATTTATCAGGTTTTACATCCACTATTACTGCCTTAGATGTAACCCTACTCTATAAGTATGTACTTCTATTAGAATGTGTCATATTTATCAGGTTTTACATCCACTATTACTGCCTTAGATGTAACCCTACTCTATAAGTATGTACTTCTATTAGAATGTTGTATTTATCAGGTTTAACATCCTCTATTACTGCCTTAGATGTAACCCTACTCTATAAGTATGTACTTCTATTAGAATGTTGTATTTATCAGGTTTACATCCTTTAATACTGCCTTAGATGTAACCCTACTCTATAAGTATGTACTTCTATTAGAATGTTGTATTTATCAGGTTTTACATCCACTATTACTGCCTTAGATGTAACCCTACTCTATCATCCACTATTACTGCCTTAGATGTAACCCTACTCTATCATCCACTATTACTGCCTTAGATGTAACCCTACTCTATCATCCACTATTACTGCCTTAGATGTAACCCTACTCTATCATCCACTATTACTGCCTTAGATGTAACCCTACTCTATCATCCACTATTACTGCCTTAGATGTAACCCTACTCTATCATCCACTATTACTGCCTTAGATGTAACCCTACTCTATCATCCACTATTACTGCCTTAGATGTAACCCTACTCTATCATCCACTATTACTGCCTTAGATGTAACCCTACTCTATCATCCACTATTACTGCCTTAGATGTAACCCTACTCTATGATCCTCTATTACTGCCTTAGATGTAACCCTACTCTATCATCCACTATTACTGCCTTAGATGTAACCCTACTCTATCATCCTCTATTACTGTATGTACTTCTATTAGAATGTGTTGTATTTATCAGGTTTACATCCACTATTACTGCCTTAGAAGTAACCCTACTCTATAAGTATGTACTTCTATTAGAACGTTGTATTTATCAGGTTTAACATCCTCTATTACTGCCTTAGATGTAACCCTACTCTATAAGTATGTACTTCTATTAGAATGTGTTGTATTTATCAGGTTTTACATCCTCTATTACTGCCTTAGATGTAACCCTACTCTATCATCCACTATTACTGCCTTAGATGTAACCCTACTCCATAAGTATGTACTTCTATTAGAATGTTGTATTTATCAGGTTTACATCCTTTAATACTGCCTTAGATGTAACCCTACTCTATAAGTATGTACTTCTATTAGAATGTTGTATTTATCAGGTTTTACATCCTCTATTGCTGCCTTAGATGTAACCCTACTCTATAAGTACTGGTATGTACTTCTATTAGAATGTTGTATTTATCAGGTTTTACATCCTCTATTGCTGCCTTAGATGTAACCCTACTCTATAAGTATGTACTTCTATTAGAATGTGTTGTATTCATTGGTGAGAAAGAATACTTACCTCTTGAAGTTTATCTTCAATAGCTGTAGCACCAAGCAATTTTAAATTCTGAAAAAAAGTCCAAAAAAATCAATCAATATTTCATTAGTTTTACTTCACAACTGGTGAATTCTTAAATAGGATAAACCTCTTCAATCATTCTCCTGTTCAGAAAACATATAAATCTATATAACTGATAAAACCACATGTTTGTTTTGACAGGAGGTCAAAGAGTCTGTGTTCTACAATTTATAAGGAGAAGATTTTAATTCAAATTATAGTCAATTCATACTTATAAATTAAACATCTTCCCTTTAAAGCACACTTCTAGCCAAACACCATAACTACATGGTTATTATGAAATGTGTTCAGTTTTGAACATATTTTTATATATAAACTCTTATCCTCTGTACTATTAGCCCCTACCCTTTGTAACATTTGCCCCCTATGTAGAACAAGTCCCTTCCCTCTGTAACACTTGCCCCTACCCTCTGTAATACTAGCCCTACCTTCTGTAACATTTGCCTGTACCCTCTGTACTATTAGCCCCTACCCCCTGTAACACTAGCCCCTACCCTCTGTACTATTAGCCCCTACCCTCTGTAACATTTGCCCCTACCCTCTGTACTATTAGCCCCTAACCCTGTAACACTAGCCCCTACCCTCTGTACTATTAGCCCCTACCCTCTGAGAAACAAACCCCTACCCTCTATACTATCAGCCCTACCCTCTGTACTCTTAGCCCCTACCCTCTGTACTCTTAGCCCCTACCCTCTGTACCTTTAGCCCCTACCCTCTGTGAAACCAGCCCCTACGCATTTTAACACTTGCTCCTACCCTCTGTACTATTTGCCCTTACCCGTTCTATGAGTTCGGCAGCCTCCTCCAGCTTTTTCTCTCGGTTCTGTATGGATGTGCTTGCCTTGTAATAGGTGTGTTTCCAGTCCTCATAGAAATCTTCAGCTACATCTGCTGTTGCGATACATAGGGTCCGTAAACCTAAATATATAGATTAGAATCTAACCAATAATTCATGAAATATGATGCAGAAGCAATATGCTGACATAGTCGATTGAGAAAGCCGAATACCCCTGAACAGGTGATAACAGACATGAATATTTCTTAATGCTGAAATCTTTTGTCTGTGATCTTTTCCATTAACAACACCAATGAAAGTGTTTATAGATTGGACGAAGCGATTGTAAAGTTTTATCAGGAATCTTACCCAATGTAGCAAACTCCTCTAAATGTTGAAGAGTGATGTCCCTGTAAAGCTGTTTCTCATCAAGACGTTCATATATAACAGTATCCTGTGACAGAAAGTTACGACAGTGATAGCCTTGTAGGAACGACAGAATAATTAGTCTAATCACATATTAAGCTCCGACCTTCTAGATGTTTAAAGGCTTCCAAAATTAAAGTGTAACTTAAACAGAAGGTGTAGGTCTAGTTCTGAGTCTAACGTACATAGTATATGAAGTAAAATAAATTAAATATTGTTTCCAGTTACTATTGATACTGTCTGGCAAGTAAGTCATGTTACTCTAACTAAGGTGTAATTACATGAATGTCACAAAACTTCTATTTACTTCCTGGTCAACAGGTAGATCTTGTCATACCTGAAGGGTGTTAGTAGGAACAAACATTAAAGCCTCTATATAAATCATCATTATAAGTAGCAAGTTATTTCAGATGACGTGGTTTTACATAAATGTACCATAAACCCTTAACACAACTTACTGCGCCTTTACAGTAAACTTTGATCTTGTTGTCTGGAGTTCTGACAACAACTGACATTCTTTTTCTTGTACTGAAAAACAATTTAAACAATAAAATCAATACACATGTACTGGTATATTTCACAGAAGTGATATATATATATTTAGTGATTAAATACAAACATTCTATAGACTATTTCTGACAGTATTCATACAGCCTTGTTACTTGTAGATGTCTGTACGTACCTTGTAAATTCTAGAACATTCAATACTTCATATTCTTCTGACTTTCCGTTCTGAAAATAAAACCATGGATCCTTAGAAACCGCTCACTGTCCGTTCATTATTATCAAAGATTTTTCCTTTAAACTTTTATCACTGAGAGAAAATTGATTGTCTTATTAAACTGATCTTTCACACATATTGACAGGAGAAAAAAACATGTTTAATCTCCACTGAAGGTACCATTAACATCATTCCATCATTTATTTACAATCATGTTTTTCTTCTAACACTTTCTTTAGTACCACTGATATCTAAATATAAACTTATTTTTAATGTGAAAACTTATATGGAATACACAACATGACAACTAGCTAATTGTTGGGTCATAGTATATACAAACCACTTTGATTGTAACGGCTTTGGGGGTCCTAGTAGCAAACTCAAATCCAAGGCTCCTGGCTCCTTTTACAAGGGCTGCCTCATCTGTTCAAATAAGTGTTATTTATTTCAATAACATAACTGGAGCGAAGTTGTATATCTAAATATTCATATGATAATAAATATAGACTTAAAACAAAACCAAAAACTATTGAATGTTTGACAAATATAATTAAAGTATCTATTCAAGCTTTTGGAACTGGAGAAGAAATTCTCTAAACATACAATCTTGATTGACATCGCTTATCAAAATTTTTTTCATATTTTAGAATAAATCTGCAAGAAACATTGGATTCTTATCGTCAAATTCTTCAAACTTTTTACATCCACTCTTTGGAAGATGGAAAATTGATAAACCTATATATAATCCTTACCTGGGGATGAGGCCTGGTACACCACATGGCCTGTATCACTTCCCTCTTGTAGGTACTCGCGCTCCGGAACAACAGTGTGACACACAGATAATAAGGTTAGGAACTCCCTCAAAACTGGGGCTGTCACCTACACCAACAAATGTAAGGGGAGACAATTTAGATTTTTTAACTAAGTCTATTCAGATGATGCTAAACCACAGACAGATCAGTTATAAGACATTCTGTGGTAACATGTTGTCGTAGGACATCAGAGGGATTATATTCTATGTAAAATAACGTTGATTTTGTTGTGTAAAAATTATACATTTATCCTAAGACTTCAAATTCAACAAAATTCATGGTGTATTTCATGAGGGTTTTAAAAGATTTTATCAAAATTCCTGATGAAATGAAGTTTCTTAAATACGACATTTTTCTAGAACTTCAAACACAGTTAGTGACGCATCATCTAGTCCTAATGTAAAGTGAAAGAAAATAATGTCTTACATGGTTTTGTAAATTATCAAGTATTGTTGGATCATTAAATGTCTGCTCACTCTCCTCATTGTTACTGAAAAATGACAAACACAAATATCATTAACAGATAGATTAGTGAACAACAAAATGATTCTAAAGGAATATTTTACTTTAGACTAAAACCCAGAGTTATAATGTATAGTGTATCTGTCTGAGACTGAACCACGAAAAGAGAGTAACATTAGTAAGTTTTTTAAGTAACACTAATGTTTCCTGTCAAGAGGGAGAAGGATACTGACCCATATGTAATACCCGCCACAGAACACTTCCGGAACTCCATAACATTTCTTGTCAATGTGCCAGTCTTATCTGAGAAAATGTATTTAATCTGAAACAGACATAATAATCTATCATATATCATGATAAATATTTATGCTAATACTTGATATTAAATTGCCTGTATTATCGACTTTTATAAACACCAATGAGTAACAGTACAACATTAATGATAGCATATCTGTACTTTGTGTTTAACTTACCTGTCCAAGTTCCTCGTTAAGATTGGACGTCCTGGCCATGGCAGGTGTATCAGACTCAGCACAGTACATATCTAGATCCTGTAAATAGAACACAAGATCAAATTATACAGTCGCTCAAGCAAAATACATTACAGATAGAACACAAGACCAAATTATACAGTCGCTCAAGCAAACTACATTACAGATAGAACACAAGACCAAATTATACAGTTGCTCAAGCAAAATACATTACAGATAGAACACAAGACCAAATTATACAGTTGCTCAAGCAAAATACATTACAGATAGAACACAAGACCAAATTATACAGTTGCTCAAGCAAAATACATTACAGATAGAACACAAGACCAAATTATACAGTTGCTCAAGCAAAATACATTACAGATAGAACATAAGACCAAATTATACAGTCGCCCAAGCAAAATACATTACAGATAGAACACAAGACCAAATTATACAGTCGCTCAAGCAAAATACATTACAGATAGAACACAAGACCAAATTATACAGTCGCCCAAGCAAAATACATTACAGATAGAACACAAGACCAAATTATACAGTCGCCCAAGCAAAATACATTACAGATAGAACACAAGACCAAATTATACAGTTGCCCAAGCAAAATACATTACAGATAGAACACAAGATCAAATTATACAGTCGCTCAAGCAAACTACATTACAGATAGAACACAAGACCAAATTATACAGTCGCTCAAGCAAACTACATTACAGATAGAACACAAGATCAAATTATACAGTCGCCCAAGCAAAATATATTACAGATAGAACACAAGACCAAATTATACAGTCGCTCAAGCAAACTACATTACAGATAGAACACAAGACCAAATTATACAGTTGCTCAAGCAAAATACATTACAGATAGAACACAAGACCAAATTATACAGTCGCTCAAGCAAAATACATTACAGATAGAACACAAGACCAAATTATACAGTCGCTCAAGCAAACTACATTACAGATAGAACACAAGACCAAATTATACAGTCGCTCAACAAAGAGACCTATAGATACTGTGATATAAAGTATTCTATGGTGATTGTAGTGTAAAGTGGTCTATAGTTTAAAACTGCAGAGCAAAAATGTCCTCAGAACAGTTCAAGTTCTTCCTGTGAATGTCTTAAGTCGTTGATCACACAAAAAATATTAACTGTGCTCAATCAAGTGGTTTTCTTTACATTATACTGACAAAAGATTTTGTTATTTGAAAGTAACCTTTGCATTTGAACCCTTATTGAAATCAATAAGTCCATTTTTTCCTCTAATTAATGAATAGAAACAAGTATGCCATCCCATCAACACAATTGTTTCTAAATAAAGCTTTCTCCTATGCACAAAAATTATTTTTGTTGTATGAACCAAAGGAACTTTGACCTTTGACCCTGAAAATCAAGAGGGTTCAACCTCTTATGAAGGGAAACATGCTAAATATATAACAGTATGATTATGGAATTTTATAACTCATTGAGCTTTACATGCACAGTCAAATACACCCACTGATGGACAGATAGCTAGAAAGATGTTACAAGAAGGTGTCTATATCTTACCCAATTGATGAATATTGCTTGGATGAACTTGACGACCTCAAGTGACACTTGGAGACTGATGGGAATGAGGTTGTTGTAGAGGATGATAAATGTTAGGAAGTTGTAACCAAAGTTACTAGGTGGTAGTTCTGTAAAAATAATATTATACATTATTTTAAACATTGATTAACAAAGAGTTATCCTATATTACATATAACATTCAGTATCCAAATTCCTTATCATACCTGTTTTTCAATGTTGATTTTGATTTCTGAGTTTGAAATATGCCATGACCAAATCCAAGGTTTCCTGTTAGCTTGTGAATAGCTTAAGATCACAAAATTTACCACAATGTGCACACAATATTTTTTGTTGAAAAATTATCAAAACTACTAAACTGTTTACCAATTCAAACATTAAAACATTCTCAAGTTGACCTTCACATTTACTTGATGACCTTGACCTTTCACCAAATAAGCTATTTGATTTCTTGCTTGATCTAATGAACTTTGACTTGACCTTTTTTTAACTTGGTACGAATCTCAGTCCACGAGCCATTTGGTATTCATCTCATTAGCTATTGTACTCACCTTGATAGGCCAGGTACCAGTCCCTATCTACATGCCAATTGGTCAACATCTCGTTAGCTATTGTACTCACCTTGATATGCCAGGTACCAATCCCTATCTACATGCCAATTGGTCCACGTCTCGTTAGCTATTGTACTGATCAGGGACATCACAATCAGGATGACAAACAGTATCAGGATCTGACAGGTGTAAGATATAAAGGTAGATAACTACCAGTGTACATGTAGTAACTTAATCAATACTTCAGACAGGTAATGTCTTTACTCTGGCATAAATCACAACTAGTAACATGTCAATCCATGTATTTATTTGTCTCAAAATAGGCCCATCTCACTACGTTTAGTCAAAGTTTACCTGTCGCCCCCACCAACCCTTCCCATCCCAATCCTCACCTGTGGCTTGTTACAGGAAAAATAGGTATATTCAGGTACATACTACATACATAAAAGTGGCCCAAGTAATGAAAACAATAGTTTAGTATAGAATCCAGTTCTGAAGTGGTGTTATACAGCAGACATTGTAATACAATCCTAATTATTATGTGATATTTTTCTTACATACAGATAGAACTAAATGTTTGTGGTAGTAGTTCTGTCTCCACTATATACCTGTGTATTTGTGACCTTCTCCACGTTTGACCTCTTTAATGGTGCTGTTGAGGAGTTAAGCATCAACTTGGACTCTGGACCAGTGTAGATCACGATTCCTGTTATAACAAACCAAGCTTAGATATTGTATCTGTGTTGAATTAAATATATCCCTTTTCAATAAACATTTCAATATTATTTTTCAGAGCCAGTAATTATTAAATTATCAAGAACAGGCTATGAAATTGATAGATTGATTAATGAATGTAATGTGCAAAAGAGAAATAAGAAAATTGTTGTACCAAATATCCACTTGGTGTTCCTCAACATGGCTCCCCTCAGTAACAGCTGATCTGGTCCAAGAGGTATAGCACTGTACAGAAACAAAACAATACTCAACATCAACGACACAATACTGTAAACAAATAAAGACACAACTCACATTTACTATACTTCAAAAGATTTAGTTTTTTCATTCATATTTATTATTTTCATTCTATAATAGGAATTTATCTATTAAAGATATTTTGATATTTTCAAATCTCAAAATATATATTGAATAAAAAAAGAAGACTAATTTCATTTTAAGATGATATCATGTGACAATATATTAAACACCTACTTTCATTAATTCGGTAGTCTTAGTGGTTCAATTTTAGTAAATAACTTTAAGTGTATTCAAATTAAATTACAGAAAAAATGACAGATATAACTAGGATGGAACCATGACCTTCTACATATTGCCTTGGTTCACAGCATGATATGATGTACAGCTTTTCATAAACCAAAGTCTATTGCTGTTTGGTGACAACAACATGACAAGTTAAGGTGAGACTAATGTTTAAAGGGTCTGGCTTTTACCTTGTATCAGGATTATAAATGTCACATCAGCAGTTTTCCTTATAAAATTTAAAGGGAGATAACAATATTCTGGGACGATTATTATTACATTCTTAACTGCCTGTCAACACATAAAAGGTCATCAGAACCATCAAAAGTCTGATACTTACTAACCAATACTGACCAGTAATGTCAATATCAGCTAAAAACCACATACATTAGTTATATAGTAATCTTACATGCTAACCCCCATTTTGTTTGAAGAAATGTAAAGTTCTGAACATTTTCATTTTGTTTAGAATACATTGCTTTATCGAATGGAATTTTATTGGTTCATGTTTCAGATTTACTTACAATCTCCCTGATGGTCGGATGTTGCCCACAAAGTCATACAGATGTTTGTTTGGCAGCTCACACTCCACTACACCATCCAGATCTAATAAATCTTCATGCCGCAAAAGCTTGGCAGTTTGAGGTATACCCTGGTGAAAAATCAAGAAACAACTTACACATTATCAAAATTTATTTCAATAGATATTAAAGATATTACTTTCCTAAAAAACAGCATGCAGTTAATCATGATATAAAGAGAAATGTATATGGCAAATATTAAAGGAATATTGGTAATAGAGAGAGGAATGATCACATAGATCCCAGTCAAACCAAATCATCAGCTAAAATGAAAATACAGCCGAGCTTTTTATAAATCACAGCAAATAATCTTTTCACAAAATAAAATCTCACCATCCTATAGTCATTTCATCAAGGTGACCTTGTACAAGTCTCACCTTTCTATTGTCCATTCATCAAGGTGACCTTGTACAAGTCTCACTTTAATATTGTCATTTTATTGAAGTTAATATTTACAAATCTTACTTGTCTAATCTTGAGATTTGTTTCCCCGTCTAGATTGGAGGTTTCTACATAACACATGGCCTGGGGTTCACTACAAAAAAAGTGGAAGATTATGTACAATACCGTCAGATAAACTATTCAGGATATCATGATAAAAACCTTGAAAATTTCAATGATATACATCTAATTTTGGGTAATGATTAATTGCCAAATCATCAATTTATCTTTTGCAAACTGTGTATGTTGTTCTTATTCATAAATCACTGTCTTATTTTGTAACCTTGCCACCAATATTTACATGACATACTTACATGTTTAAGGAAAAAAATTCTCTTCCTTAAAGATGCTACCATAATTTCTTTTTTCTCAAGTACAACAGAAGTTGTCATTAATATCCACTTATTTGTTAAGTGATAGGGAATTATCACATTACCTTGATGACAGAAGGACAAGGTCTGCTGGGAAAAACTGACCACTGACCACCTTGACCAAATCTCCCACAACCACCTGTGTCCATAGTAGCCTCTGCCAGGTACCATCTCTCAACACTGAAATAGAACAAGTCTCTCTGATCTGTGAGGAAGTTTAGAAACAAATGGAAAAAAGACATCAAAGTTCTCAGAAAAAAAAAATGTCAAAGTTCTCTGGGAAAAAAAACCCATCAAAATGCTTAGAGTTTCTATTCTATATAAGCTGTTATCTTCAATTGGGTCTCCTTGACACTATCCTCGAGATACATTGGAAATACAATTTATAGAGATATCTATCCATGACTTCAGTGAACAATCTTTCTTTAAGTTATTGGTATAATCTTATGATAAAATTACGTCCCCCTCTCCAAAAAAAAAAAAAAAAAAAAAAATATCAATCTCATACAATGAGATGAATTACAGGCCCCCCCCATCCCCCATCAATATGTTTACTAAGGGAAACCTATACACAAAGTATGAAGTTCTAGTGACTATAAGTGTAGGTGATGGAGCCTGAACAAACTTTTTCTTTGATGAAGCCCAAAAGGTTAAAATATAGGTCAACAAAGTGACCTACTTTTGATACATGACACATATATCCCCAACGAAACTTCAACAATTTGACCCCTTTTTGGGCTTGCCCATCAGGTCCCCTTGTGATTGGGTTCCATTTAATTTACAATTCGGGTTCATCTTTGGCCATGTAAGGTTTCTGCAAAACTTCACTGAAACTGACTGGGTTTTCTAGAAGAATGTGAAAATGTAGAAAGTTTACCGAAACATGACTGACGATGCTGCACAAAAAGGGATTGTGAAAGGTTACCATGAAACTTTGTCTCAAGTGATCTAAAAACCTTTAGAGTATACCTGGTATTGAGGAACCCATACATCTGGAAAGCTTTATAAAGCCAAGTCTTGCCTCTTTTGAACAGACTATAAAGGCTCTGTTTTAATATATAATGAGATTACTTCTATAGAAAGGTTTTATCATTGCTTAAAGGACTGGCTCCACTATGTAATATAATCATCTATATGATTTAATTCACTGATGGGTGATTTATTCAAGGGATTTTCTATTGTCGATCAATTTAATTATCAAGAAGTTCTTTCAAGAGAGTGCACCTCTAGGACAGAAATCCTGAACAGGTTATTACGTTTACACAGTTGGATTGTACTTTTGTATATAGGTAGTGACACTGCCTACATTACCACAAATAATTAAAACCAGTTTGACATTTCCGGTGGCGTCAACCTACCCTGCACTTCTCGATTGTTTACAGCATCATCCTGACGGTGACGTTTCTGAAACAAATTAAAATTGATAAAAAACCATGCGAGTTCAATTAAAGCTAGAGTAAACACAAACAATATTTATCATCTATTGATTGTATACCAAATGGCTTAATTAGATACACTGTCTCTAGACTTTGCTGCAGTCATTTTCTCAGTCTCGAACTCGAAGGAATGTGGGATGGGAGTGTGTGAGTGAGGGTGTTAGTGAGGTCTATATTGTATCCGATACAGTTATTTCTTGGTCCCTATTTCAAAGAGATTTGAGGAAGACAGGGGAAAATGTTATTTTTCTAAGATCCTACTTTTCCTGACGTGTCATAATTTTTTCTAAGAAACTGGCGAAAAGTTCAATTTAAAGATTTTTCTCAAGATACAAGTTTAGTTTGGTTTTTTTTTCCATACACGAGATATGTAACCAGCCTTATTGTAATATTCTTAACTTGTTTGACAAGACCTGTATCAGGTATCACAAAGTCAGACTACAATATAAATGTATCAGGTATCACAAAGTCAGGCTACAATATAAATGTATCAGGTATCACAAAGTCAGACTTAGATATAAATGTATCAGGTATCACAAAGTCAGACTTAGATATAAATGTATCAGGTATCACAAAGTCAGGCTACAATATAAATGTATCAGGTATCACAAAGTCAGACTTAGATATAAATGTATCAGGTATCACAAAGTCAGGCTACAATATAAATGTATCAGGTATCACAAAGTCAGACTTAGATATAAATGTATCAGGTATCACAAAGTCAGACTTAGATATAAATGTATCAGGTATCACAAAGTCAGACTTAGATATAAATGTATCAGGTATCACAAAGTCAGACTTAGATATAAATGTATCAGGTATCACAAAGTCAGACTTAGATATAAATGTCAGGTATCACAAAGTCAGACTTAGATATAAATGTCAGGTATCACAAAGTCAGGCTACAATATAAATGTATCAGGTATCACAAAGTCAGGCTACAATATAAATGTATCAGGTATCACAAAGTCAGACTTAGATATAAATGTATCAGGTATCACAAAGTCAGACTTAGATATAAATGTATCAGGTATCACAAAGTCAGGCTACAATATAAATGTATCAGGTATCACAAAGTCAGGCTACAATATAAATGTATCAGGTATCACAAAGTCAGGCTCAGGCTACAATATAAATGTATCAGGTATCACAAAGTCAGGCTACAATATAAATGTATCAGGTATCACAAAGTCAGGCTACAATATAAATGTATCAGGTATCACAAAGTCAGGCTACAATATAAATGTATCAGGTATCACAAAGTCAGGCTACAATATAATGTATCAGATGTTAGAAGTCAGGTTTCACTCTGTATCCATGAGTCTGTGTTAAACCTGCCTGACTAATCATGTGACAGGATATGTACCTCTGACATTCTTATCCCAGTCTATATACAGAAACATGTACCTAAATAGAACCGTCCATACTATTAATTGCTGTTAATGGGTTAACAATGGTGATCTTAGGAGAAATATAGAGGTAATTAGACAAAGACTATCTATAAATACTGGGAAGTATAATGGGAAAGATTATGTTTGGTGAGAGGTACATTAAGGATTTGTGTTGTGAGAGGTATGTTAATGCTATGTGTTGAGAGATGTATGTTAATGCTATGTGTTGTGAGAGGTATGTTAATGCTATGTGTTGTGAGAGGTATGTTAATGCTATGTGTTGTGAGATGTGTGTTAATGCTATGTGTTGTGAGAGGTATGTTAATGCTATGTGTTGTGAGAGGTATGTTAATGCTATGTTTTGTGAGAGGTATGTTAATGCTATGTGTTGAGAGATGTGTGTTAAGACTGTGTGTCCTGAGATGTGTATTAAGACTGTGTGTCCTGAGATGTATGGTAAGGCTTTGTGTACATGTACGTTAATGAGTGTTGTGACAGTGTTATGAGTGTTAGAGATGTGTGTTAAGGCATGTGTTGTGAGATGTGTAATGCTAGAGGTGTGTTAAGCTATGTGTTGTGAGAAGTATGGTAAGGCTATGTGTTGTGAGTGTGTGTATTGTGTCCGGGTAAGACTGTGTGTCCTGAGATGTATGGTAAGGCTTTGTGTACATACGTTGAGGCACAGTGTTATGAGATGTTAATTAAGGCATCGTGTTGTGAGATGTGTACTACCAGGTAAAGCTATGTGTTGTGAGAAGTATGGTAAGGCTATGTGTTGTGAGTTGTGTATTACCGGGTAAGACTGTATGTCCTGAGATGTATGGTAAAACTATGTGTACATACGTTGAGGCACAGTGTTATGAGATGTTAATTAAGGCATTGTGTTGTGAGTTGTTAGATAAGTTACTATGTATTTGAGGTGTGTAAATCCTGTTTTGTTGACATCCAATCAGCCACTTGTGTAACTCGTCCTGTAGACATAATCTATAATTCATACTCTCACCGAGCTCGTGTTGAGTTAACAGTCAACTCAGATATATATCAAAGAATTGCCACATTCCTCCGTGTATGTCTATATTAATTATTTATACAAAACAAAATGGTAATCTACCTTACTAGCGCTTTCATCTAGGATACGACTAGAAACACGTATACAACTGGTTCATGGTTTGTGATTTTGTTTGATATCTACAACTAAAATTTCCACTAAATAGGGACATAAAGTCGATCATTCAGAACACATCTCTTTTAACTTATCCACTAAATTTTATGTATCATTTAATCTTTACAAAAGTTGTTATAAAACATCTTCATTCTTCAGAATTTGTTTAAAGTATGTAAATATACGTACTACATTACAATCGTTTTTTTACAAAATACTTCCCATTAATGACAAGGGTGTAACGGTCTAATCACAACCCCAATACGCCCCTCCTGAAGCCATCCATCCCCACCCCCGAACTTCCCACCCTGCACCCCACACCAATCTTACAGCTGAAAGAAGTCTTATATCTAACAAATGTTTAATAAAATCTTTCTGACATATTATCTACTACTTTAAAAGTGTCACAAAACATTGAAATGTCACGCATGAAATGAATCTGTATAGTGAGAGTTAGTTAAATGTCTTCCCCCTCCCTGAGAATACGAATATTACATTAGGTAATGTTCTGTCCATATGATATGAATGTTCAAACAGACACAGATCAAATTAGTTATAATTTATTTTTGATAAAAATCAGAAAAAAAAACACTCGTAAATTTGTCAATATGCAATTTTAACATAACCCTAACTGGAATATAGCCATCCAGTAAAGACTTATGGGGATAATATCTACTCCTTATGCTGGTGATTATTAGCAGTACATTAGCTACCATAAATCAGGAATGATACCTTATATCGGGACAATTTTAATTATAGCAACCAGGGATGATACTACTCACAAAGTCCTCGATGATCTCCTTAACAGCGGACACTGCTAGGATAAAGAGTAAAGGAACAGCTGTGGTGTACCGTCCTGTTGGTGATACACGGGGAATTTGCTACAAGATAAAAAACATGTTTTAAGTTCAAAGTTTCAGTAATAGGAAAGGCTTTTTTTGATATATCTGCACATAAAATTTCATTTCACATTCAGGTACTACAGATGACAATCTGTAATCTGTGATAACAATAAAACACTGACGACAATCTTATGAGCCTTATAGATAACAAATTTTATGGAGTTGATCTAACAGTACAGGTACTGTAACATGGGATTTTATTCACCAATCACCACCTTGAAATTATTATATCATACAGATACAATCCCAACTTGTTGTCTATAGCTATGGATATTTTTGATAGATGCAAACACTTGTAAAAGGCATCAACGACAACATGTCCAAAAAAATTTGAAATTTGGTCGATTTCCAGCATGACAACAACATGAACAAAAAACTTTTAAAATTTGGTCTATTTCCAGCATGACAACATGAACAAAAAACTTTTAAAATTTGGTCTATTTCCAGCATGACAACATGAACAAAAAACTTTTAAAATTTGGTCTATTTCCAGCATGACAACATGAATAAAAAACTTTTAAAATTTGGTCTATTTCCAGCATGACAGCATGAACAAAAAACTTTTAAAATTTGGTCAATTTCCAGCATGACAACAACATGAACAAAAACCTTTTAAAATTTGGTCGATTTCCAGCATGACAACACGAACAAAAAACTTTTAAAATTTGGTTGGTTTCCAGCATGACAACACGAACAAAAAACTTTTAAAATTTGGTTGGTTTCCAGCATGACAACACGAACAAAAAACTTTTAAAATTTGGTTGGTTTCCAGTTATTGACACCAGTGTGTTTATCACATGATAAGATTTGTTCAGAGGAAGTTTGATATCACATCACTGTCATTGATTGTCTGTAACCTAAGTAAATGTCAGGCAGTGTGTCTGTTATACTGTAACTAGATTCGTATTCAATGTCACTTATCAGACATCACAAAATGAACAGCATTTCCCAAATCTAGTTCAGCTACCAAAGTTTAAAGGCCAGAGAGAGACTGGCCAAGTGATGAAGCTCTGGAGAATCCAATCTCAAGGAGAGAAATGTAAATATAACAACGGACAACGAAACAGAAGTTTACTGGATATTATTACGGGACACAGCATCTGATATTTACACACTGTATTGAAAGTATAAACTAGTGACTGCATATTAGTCTGATACCATTACGGAGTGGAATCTACCCTGAATCCAATCAGACTTTTACGACATATCTAATTTTCTGCTGATTAACTGGAGACAAAGTCAATAAATATCTCATGCTGTTAAACAGGAATGAAGAGCATTCTCTAATTTTCATTTTTCTTTCCCATTTCACTATATACCAAGATTTCGTTCCTATTTTCATTCACTTTGTTTGACATAATGATTTGAATTTATTATCTTCAGGTTCAGTTTTCTTCAGATATGAATCAAAATAATTGGAAGTCTTTTATGTCAAGATGAATAATTTATTTGGATCTTGTAAAATATGATATTAACAGTATTGATTATCAGTTTGGTGTTCAATACAATTTATAACTATTGAAGTAAGAAACAATTTATATTCTTATCGAGAAAAGTCAAACTGTTTCTCTTGAAACTCATTGATAAGCTTTAAATTAAAGCTTTCTGATTTATCTCACCAAATTCTCAGTATAAAAGCTTAAGATCACCTCTCTGTAATGCTGTCACATGATTCCATAAACCTTAGGCTTGATTATGTCCACCTTGGTAGGCATACAGAGAAGACTTGCCTGGGTTAATAGGATAAACAGCAGGTGGAAGACTTACCATGAGTAATGAGATAAACAGCAGGTGGAAGACTTACCATGAGAGTAAACAGCAGGTGGAGATAAACAGATAAACAGCAGGTGGAAGACTTACCTGGAGTAATGAGATAAACAGCAGGTAAGATTTACCTGAGATGAGATGAACAGCAGGTGGAAGACTTACCTGAAGTAATGAGATAAACAGCAGGTGGAAGACTTACCTGGAGTAATGAGATAAACAGCAGGTGGAAGACTTACTTAGGGTAATGAGATAAACAGCAGGTGGAAGACTTACCATGAGTAAGGAGATAAACAGCAGGTGGAAGACTTACCTGGGGTAATGAGATAAACAGCAGGTGGAAGACTTACCTGGAGTAATGAGATAAACAGCAGGTGGAAGATTTACCTGGAGTAATGAGATGAACAGCAGGTGGAAGACTTACCTGAAGTAATGAGATAAACAGCAGGTGGAAGACTTACCTGGAGTAATGAGATAAACAGCAGGTGGAAGATAAACAGCAGGTGGAAGACTTACCATGAGTAAGGAGATAAACAGCAGGTGGAAGACTTACCTGGGGTAATGAGATAAACAGCAGGTGGAAGACTTACCTGGAGAAATGAGATAAACAGCAGGTGGAAGACTTACCTGGAGTAATGAGATAAACAGCAGGTGGAAGACTTACCTGGAGTAATGAGATAAACAGCAGGTGGAAGACTTACCTGGAGTAAGGAGATAAACAGCAGGTGGAAGACTTACCTGGGGTAATGAGATAAACAGCAGGTGGAAGACTTACCTGGAGAAATGAGATAAACAGCAGGTAGAAGACTTACCTGGAGTAATGAGAGAAACAGTAGGTGGAAGACTTACCTGGAGTAATGAGATAAACAGTAGGTAGAAGACTTACCTGGGGTAAAGAGATAAACAGCAGGTGGAAGACTTACCTGGAGTAATGAGATAAACAGCAGGTGGAAGACTTACCTGGAGTAATGAGATAAACAGCAGGTGGAAGACTTACCTGGAGTAATGAGATAAACAGCAGGTGGAAGACTTACTTAGGGTTAAGACATAAACAGCAGGTAGAAGACTTACCTGGAGTAATGAGATGAACAGGAAGAATATGTTGGCATACTTTCTAAACTGCTCAAACAGGAACTTGGGCAAGAAGGACAACAAACTGTATTTGGCCGTGCTGTGGAAAACAAAAACATATGAATGACTCTAAATTAGTCTTGTCAATCTAGTTTTCACCAGGCAGGAAAATCTGAGTGTTTGTAATGGGATCCATATTACAATCTACAGGAAGTGATCAGATCTTAGCCAACCAATCAGTGATGACCTTAACAACCAACAATGACCTTAATGACAATAGTTAGGAAACAGAAATGGTGGGACCTTTTTACTGATACAGCCACCCATCAGGAAGAAAATAGAAAAAGGTACACTTTATTTTATATTTACAATAAACAAAAAGGGGCCTTACTTGCTACTTAGGATTGGAGAAGGACAGAAAGAGAGTCTTATTTAGACTTGAAAGACACTGTGTATAAAAAAGTACCTTAGTTAAAGGACAAATGTAGTGGCACTAAAAAGTACTTACTTACAATTTAAAGGGGACTTCTATCAGGATGGAAATGTTGAGTTTTTATAAGGTTAGACAAAGGGGCACTCTAACTGGTAGGAAGTGTAAGGCTGTTAGAAGGTATCCTGTAGTTAATGTGGTTGAATTGGGAAAAAGTGTAAGTAAGGAAACCTTGACAGGTGCTTAAGACAACAACACACCTGATCTTGTTGTAGCAGTATTTGACAGGCTGGGGAGCATTAATGTAAATAACTCGCTGCTTGGAAGGTTCCACCTCTTCAGTAGTCTCAGATCCCATCCCATCCTGCATTTGGTGGTACTCTGTAAATAAAAAAAAAGTCGGGTAATCATTGGTAGCAAACAATCTTCTCATCTCAGTTTTGGGCTTTTTATATGACTATCATAAGGGATTAAAGTATATATCATTAGATAGGGATAATATACATAGATTATGTACACACCTCAATACAGGGATTATGTATACACCTCAATACAGGGATTATGTATACACCTCAATACAGGGATTATGTATACACCTCAATACAGGGATTATGTATACATCTCAATACAGGGAATATGTACACAGCTCAATACAGGGATTATGTCTACATCTCAATACAGGGATTATGTATACATCTCAATACAGGGATTATGTACACACCTCAATACAGGGAATATGTACACACCTCAATACAGGGATTATGTCTACATCTCAATACAGGGATTGGGTATACATCTCAATACAGGGATTATGTATACACCTCAATACAGGGATTATGTACACACAGGGATTATGTATACTCAATACAGGGATTATGTACACACATCTCAATACACAGCTCAATACAGATTATGTACATCTCAATACAGGGATTGGGTATACTCAATACAGGGATTATGTACACACCTCAATACAGGGAATATGTACACACCTCAATACAGGGATTATGTCTACATCTCAATACAGGGATTGGGTATACATCTCAATACAGGGATTATGTACACACCTCAATACAGGGAATATGTACACACCTCAATACAGGGATTATGTACACACCTCAATACACACCTCAATACAGGGATTATGTATACATCTCAATACAGGGATTATGTATACATCTCAATACAGGGATTATGTATACATCTCAATACAGGGATTATGTATACATCTCAATACAGGGATTATGTCTACATCTCAATACAGGGATTATGTATACACCTCAATACAGAGATTATGTACACAGCTCAATACAGGGATTATGTCTACATCTCAATACAGGGATTGGGTATACATCTCAATACAGGGATTCTGTACACACCTCAATACCGGGATTATGTACACACCTCAATACAGCGATTATGTACACAGCTCAATACAGGGATTATGTCTACATCTTAATACAGGGATTATGTATACATCTCAATACAGGGATTGTGTATACACCTCAATACAGGGATTGTGTACACACTTCAATACAGGGACTATGTACATACCTCAATACAGGGATTATGTATACACCTCAATACAGGGATTATGTACACACCTCAATACTGGGATTGTGTATACACTTCAATACAGGGATTACACCTCAATACAGGGATTATGTATACACCTCAATACAGGGATTATGTATACACCTCAATACAGGGATTATGTATACACCTCAATACAGGGATTATGTACACACCTCAATACCGGGATTATGTATACATCTCAATACCGGGATTATATATACACCTCAATACAGGGATTATGTATACATCTCAATACAGGGATTATGTATACACCTCAATACAGGGATTATGTACACACCTCAATACCGGGATTATGTACACACCTCAATACAGGGATTATGTTTACACCTCAATACAGGGTTTATGTATACACCTCAATACAGGGATTATGTATACACCTCAATACAGGGATTATGTACACACCTCAATACAGGGATTATGTACACACCTCAATACAGGGATTATGTACACACCTCAATACAGGGATTATGTACACACCTCAATACAGGGATTATGTACACACCTCAATACAGGGATTATGTATACACCTCAATACAGGGATTATGTACACACCTCAATACAGGGATTATGTACACATCTCAATACAGGGATTATGTATACACCTCAATACCGGGATTATGTACACACCTCAATACAGGGATTATGTATACACCTCAATACAGGGATTATGTATATACCTCAATACAGGGATTATGTATACATCTCAATACAGGGATTATGTATACGCCTCAATACACATATTTAATGTTCACTTAAAATGGCAGAAGATGTATATTATCAATCACTGATATGAACAGTGACTTATCACAAGGTGATTGACAAGCTCTCCGGTTACACATGTAACATGTTGTATCAGTAAAAGGAAACAATGGGGAGAACAAACTTGTGAAAGATTGTATACTGGAGGACATCTTCATCTCATATATTTGCAAGGTAACAGATAGTTACATTACTATGTTGAGGATGAGAATGGCCTCACATATACTATATAATATCCCTATACCTGCATATATAACCTGGTTAGTGTTAGTATTTCTGATCATTCTTGAGCACAAATCCCCACAAATTAGTACAACTGAAGATTTTTGTCCTCAGTATCCAAGGCTCTATATAAACACACTGTAAGGGGTAAACTGTACACTGACTTTTAAATACAAGGGGAACACTACTAAAGGTGCATGTGCTGAAAGACATCCAGTGCAACTGATTACAACAGCATGACCTGAGTACAATCACATCACATGACCAGTACACTCACATCAGCATCATGTGACCAGTACACTCACGTCTACATCACATGACCAGTACATCCACATCACATGACCAGTACACTCATGTCACATGACCAGTACACTCACATCACATGACCAGTACACTCACATCAACATCACATGACCTGTACAATCATTCATCACTTGCTTCATTTACTTTGTTATACAACATCTCAACAATATTCACCAATCTCACTAACTCACATCCTTAGTTATATATCCACTATGCCCTCTGCTCATGCATAATTACCTACTTCACTCACTCACTATTATGCCATTTCAATTCATAGACAGGGTTAAACTTCACTCAAATGACCTTAAAACCTTGAAATTCAATGTATTTTTAATCATAATTGTACTTTTGTTGTATTTTTGGTTTAAGTTCTCATTCAGTCAATGTAATAGTGGAAATGCCATGCTATTCTGGCATTCTGACAGAGTTTCTAATCAGATTGTGAATGACTTATACATTCCTGTCAATCACTTCATTTGCACAACATCCAGTATAATATAATGACCTCATCCTACCAGATTTGGTTCAAAAGGAAAGTTATTGGCAAACATCTTAGATAAAAAAAAGAAAATTTCCAGAAAATTACCACTGAAATATACTGTATCAGTACATGGTAAACTGTATCAGTACATGGTATACTGTATCAGTACATTGTAAACTGTACATGGTTAACTGTATCAGTACATGGTAAACTGTATCAGTACATGGTAAACAGTATCAGTACATGGTAAACAGTATCAGTACATGGTTAACTGTATCAGTACATGGTAAACAGTATCAGTACATGTAAACTGTATCAGTACATGGTAAATTGTATCAGTACATGGTATATTGTATCAGTACATGGTAAACAGTATCAGTACATGTAAACTGTATCAGTACATGGTAAATTGTATCAGTACATGGTATATTGTATCAGTACATGGTATACTGTATCAGTACATGGTAAACTGTATCAGTACATGGTATACTGTATCAGTACATGGTAAACTGTATCAGTACATGGTAAACTGTATCAGTACATGGTATACTGTATCAGTACATGGTAAACTGTATCAGTACATGGTAAACTGTATCAGTACATGGTATACTGTATCAGTACATGGTAAACTGTATCAATACATGGTAAACTGTATCAGTACATGGTATACTGTATCAGTACATTGTAAACTGTACATGGTTAACTGTATCAGTACATGGTAAACTGTATCAGTACATGGTAAACAGTATCAGTACATGTAAACTGTATCAATACATGGTATACTGTATCAGTACATGGTAAACAGTATCAGTACATGTAAACTGTATCAGTACATGGTAAATTGTATCAGTACATGGTATATTGTATCAGTACATGGTATACTGTATCAGTACATGGTAAACTGTATCAGTACATGGTATACTGTATAAGTACATGGTAAACTGTATCAGTCCATGGTAAACTGTATCAGTACATGGTATACTGTAACAGTACATGGTAAACTGTATCAGTACATGGTAAACTGTATCAGTACATGGTATACTGTATCAGTACATGGTAAACTGTATCAATACATGGTAAACTGTATCAGTACATGGTATACTGTATCAGTACATGGTAAATTGTATCAGCACATGGTATACTGTATCAATACATGGTAAACTGTATCAGTACATGGTATGCTGTATCAATACATGGTAAACTGTATCAATACATGGTAAACTGTATCAGTACATGGTAAATCGTATCAGTACATGGTATATTCTGTATCAGTACATGGTATGCTGTATCAGTACATGGTAAACTGTATCAGTACATGGTAAACTGTATCAGTACATGGTAAACTGTATCAGTACATGGTAAACTGTATCAGTACATGGTAAACTGTATCAGTACATGGTAAACTGTATCAGTACATGGTATACTGTATTAGTACATGGCAAACTGTATCAGTACATGGTATACTGTATCAGTACATGGTATACTGTATCAGTACATGGTAAACTGTATCAGTACATGGTATACTGTATTAGTACATGGTAAACTGTATCAGTACATGGTATACTGTATCAGTACATGGTATACTGTATCAGTACATGGTAAACTGTATCAGTACATGGTTAACTGTATCAGTACATGGTAAACTGTATCAGTACATGGTAAACTGTATCAGTACATGGTACACTGTATCAGTACATGGTAAACTGTATCAGTACATGGTAAACTGTATCAGTACATGGTATACTGTATCAGTACATGGTTAACTCTATCAGTACATGGTATACTGTATCAGTACATGGTATACTATGTCGGTTCATGTTATTTTTCATGTAGGCAATATTGTTATTGATATGTATGGCACCAAAAGAAAATTTTCAACACATGTAATGACAAATGTGGGTTTTGTGTACATAAAGAATGTACTCTGAGTTATCCAAGCAACCAAAATACTTGAAACTACTGTAATATGTGTAAACATATGGCATAAACACCAGACAGCAGACTATGGCTGTGTCACACA